TGTTCAAACTAAATTTAACAGTAAATTCAAATCTCTATAACCTTAGGCACAATTCAATGAACAGTAAATAATCCAAGAATCTCAGTTCCTTGATAATGGTTTATCTTTAATGGTGGTATTGATGATGATGATGATGGCAGGAAGTGGGTCTGAGGATCTGCTGAACTTTAATGAACATGAGCATATTTTTCCCAGGGCCCCTCTGGTCCATAACATAATGCTTTCGCTTTTGTGAAATGCAATGCACAGGTATGTGGAGTAAAATTGTGATAAGTCAAATTGCAGGGACTCTCTAACAAATTTGCGCTAAGCGGACATTCAAGATAGCCGAGGAATTACCCAATGTGCCTGGCTTGAGCATAGCCTCCAGACCTGCAGCCAAATTATTCTTTTTTTTTTGAGGGTTCCGCATGAAATTTTCTCAAAGCCTAATTTTCAGTTCCTATGGGCTACCTTATGGTTTTAGGGAGCTATTTTTTCACTTGCACCGACTCATTTGTTCAGTGATGCTGTCTTGTAGTAACAATATATTTTGTAATTGTGTTCACCTAGAGGGTATTTGTATTCAAACATATAGAGAATTTGAATAATTCATCAATTTTCTGAATAATTATCAACTTTCTATCAAATTTAGAGCCACGACACACAAAGAAAGCATTAATTTCCTAGACAACACAGAATTTAAGTTGCCACAAGTTAACAAGCATTAGTTAACAATTTTTTTTCCCAAAATAACTGACACAAGTGAAAAACCAATACCCTAAATATATTTTCTACAGATGCATGATGTCATAACTGCTGTTTTATTTTTCCTTTATTCATTCATGAGATGAGGGCGTTGCTGGCTAGGCAGCATTTATTGCCCATCCCTAATTGCCCAGAGGGCAGTTAAGAGTCAACCACATTGCTGTGGGTCTGGAGTCACATGTAGGCCAGACCAGATAAGGATGGCAGTTCCCTTCCCTGAAGGACACTAGTGAACCAGATGTGTTTTTCCTGACAATTGGCTATGGATTTATGGTCATCATTAGATTCTTAATTCCAGAATTTATTGAATTCAAATTCCACTACCTGCCATGGTAGGATTTGAACACGGTTCCCCGTAATGTTATCTGGGTCTCTGGATTAACAGTCCAGCAATAATACCACTAGGCCATCACCTCCCCTGTTGTGTAGTGTTGGAACATTTTAATCAGGCAGTTGCAATTAGATTTACTGCATCTCATTATCTCATTCACAGATTTAAATGTAACAGTTGACAGTAGGATCCATGACACATTTTCCGGGTATAGTTGCTCCTGGCCTTACACAGCCGTAAACTAGACATTCCACATTCATTTTGCAAGGAATTCATTTCCTCAATGATCTGAAGTTTTTTTGGATTCTACTTAACTTAGGGTTCCATTTAACTTCTGATTCCTGGATGACAAGTGTAAAACTGTTCTCTCTTGCTTGCAGATTGCCTCTACCCCAGTGTTTCCCAGCCTCTCCTCCCTCCCTACACTGCTTGTAGCCTCCATCTCCCTTCACTCCTCTACCAGCCTTTATCTCCCATTCACTCCCTTTGCAGAATCCTCCTGTTTTGCATTACCCTCACAACCTCCATTCTCAGACCACAACGCTCCTGCAACTGCTTCTTACTCCTTCTCCTACCCCATCCACCTTTGCAGATGAGACTCCCACACATGATCTCAAATCATCTGGCCTTAAGAAAACACCACACCAGCAAAAGGCCCAATTTCTCAGCCAAAGGCAGCTTTTAGTGCCTCCTTCCTTGCTCTGAGCCTCATCTGGTCATGGACCTTACACAGGAATCCCCACCCCCAACACCTCCAGATCCCAACCCCCAACCCCAGCCCCATTCCCCAGCCCCCACCGCCATCCCCAACACCCAACCCACAGCCCCCACACTTCCACCCAGCCCCACACCCATGCCCCATCTCCTAGCCCCCTGTTCGTCAGCCTAAAGCTGCTCCCTATTGGCTGTACACCACCTGGGCTTGGCCCAGGGAGACAATGGAGCTTCCTCCACTTGGACTCATCAGTTGTGTGTTGGAGAAGTGACAATGCAAGTGACTGTAAGCAGCAGTTAAAGTTGTATCACTACAACATTGAAGCAACAAGTACCTATAAGAGGTGGATGAAGAAATGCAACTTTTGTTTTTACCAGGTCCACGCCTGCTTTTGGCTGCCAGCTTTCTGAAGTGGTGAGTTGCTCAATTGGGTAGTTTTAGGTCCCTGGAGCAACCTTCTGATGAAGTCATTAAGCTGCCCCTCACTGGACATAAATAAAGAGTGGATGAAGTCAAATAAACAAAAGAGAAAAAGACACATGGAGAGTTTGGCAGAAGACTGACGTGTTGCCATATGAATCTTAGAAACATTGGCAGCAAACTATGTGGAGCAGACAAGCTAGCGATTGGCAGTGGATTTTATGGAATAATCTTTTAACAATTAAACTGAAAGATCTGTGGATGCTATAAATCAGGAACAAAAACAGAGGTTGCTGGAAAAACTCAGCAGGACAGAAATCAGAGTTGACGTTTCTGGTCGAGTGACCCTTCCTCAGAACTGAAGCAGGAGGTCTGGGTTCAAGTCCCATGTGCGCCTGAGGTGTGTAACACAATCTCTGACCAGAGTGATTAGAAAATATCCACAGTGAATAATGTTATAAAGATTCCTAAGCCTGAAGACCATTCTTGCCATGCCTTCTCCTGGACCAACCTGATTTAAAACATAACTCTTATACCTGGGTATGAAACCAGCAGGATGATGATGGCAGCAGCAGGATCCACTAAGTAAAAAATCATGGCAGCAGCGAAGGTCATGGAAATCTCCAAAACCATTTGGAGAAGAAATTAAAACAAAAATCACTTTTCCAAAACGCTGAAGATACAGCTTCAGGAGCAGCCATCAACTAAAGGAGCTGCAAAGCAGATCAGCAACTATGAAAAAAACTTTAAACCGAAAACAAAAGAAACAAAGAACTGTGGATGCTGGAAATCAGGAATTGTTGGAAAAACACAGCAGGTCTGGCAGCATCTGTAGAGAGAAAGCAGAGTTAACAATTTTGGTCCATTGACCCTTTTGAACTATTCTGAGGAAGGGTCACCGGACCTAAAATGTTAAGTCTGCTTTATCTCCACAGATGCTGCCAGATCTGCTGAGCTTTTGAACAGAATGCACCCAATGAGATAGGCCAAGAGACAGAATTCAGATTCTAATAAGAATGGTTTCTAAACTATTTACTTGACAATAAACCTACAACCAAGCAAATAAAGAGATTTCTTCAGAAATGGTTTTAACACAAATTAATTGAAGACAGTCAGAAATAAAAATAACTTATTTTTCAGAGACCTATGAGTGGAGCTAGTTAAAATTTATTATTCTGACGGTTTAAGAAAGAAGCACAGGTTTTATTCAGAAGCTAGAATGTTTTATCAATTCTAATCACTAAAAGTGAATACATTGGAGTTAAAGCAAACGACTGAAATTCTAACGTAGTCACATACAGCATGAAAATACCTCAGAGCCAGAGCAACATCACAACAGACAAAATCAATCACTGACTCTTATTGATTGACAACATTTAGAGAAAATTTCTATACACAGATCTTTTAGAAATCCTTTGGTCATCCTGATAAAAGAATATCTTTTTTCATATTGGTAACAGAAAACTGAACTTTACATTTGGAGTTTGCTAGTTCTCCCCGTGTCAGTGCAAGTTTCCTCCAGGTGCTCCGGTTTCCTCCCACAGTCTAAAGATGTGCAGGTTAGGGTGGATTGGCCATGCTAAACTGTCCTATAACGTAAAGGGATGTGCAGGCTAGGATGTGTCAGCCACAGTAAATGCAGGGTTACAGAGATGAGGTGGGGGTGGGTGGGTCTCGGTGAGATGCTCTTCGGAGGGTTGGTGTAGACTCAATGGGCTGAATGGCCTGCTTCCGCACTGTAAAGAATCTATGATTCAGGATTAGCCACAAATCAAATGAATAGTAGGTTTGCACTCTACTGTATATGAAGAAAATCAGGTTATATGTTACACAGACAACTGATCAATGAGAAACAAATTAATTTGACAATCTAACAGTTTTGCTCCATATTTTAGTCTAAGAACAAACAGGACACTGATAAGATCATGCTTCAATACACATACCAACTCCCAGGAGCGTCTTTAAATAGCTTAATTAATGACCTGTCTACATTAAGGTATTATCTGAAATTGCATTTAATATTGAACCTTCTCGAGAAGGTGCAACATAAATTTGGAGTGATATGGGCCAGGAACAGGCAGGTGGCCCCAGTTTAGTTTGGGATTTTGGTCGGCATGGACTGGTTGGACCGAAGGGTCTGTTTCCATGCTGTATGACTCTATAACTCTATAAATGCAAAATCCTAACCAATGTAATGCTACAGTTCCATTTTTAATCACAATGTGGTTCCAAAATCCCATAGCATTGAAGACAAATTTCTACCAAAAGAGGACACTTATTGAAGATACGCTACAGTCTACTGAACATAAAAAGCAAACAATCAAATTGTTTGCAAGCTGATAGGGAGCTAGGTTTATCTGGTTATAATGGATCAGCTGACTCTCAAAGACTTTGATTAGCCTGCACATCCCTGGACATTGTGGGCAATCCACCCTAACCTTCTCCTGTGTTAAGACAGACGTGAAGTAGAGTCGTAGAATCATATAATCCCTACAGTGCAGACAGAGGCTATCCTACAATGACCCTCTGAAAAGCATCCCACCCAGACCCTTAATGCCACAATTTATTGTGACTAACCCACCTAGCCTGCACGTCCCTGAACACTATGAGGTAATTTCCTATGACTAGTTCACCTAACCTGTACATCTTTAACCTTATTTAACACTTTATATTGGAAGTACTCTACATTGTATATCGTAAATAATAAGACTATTGCAGTTATGCTGAATGGAACAAGTTGAATTTTATTGCAAATACTGTAACATTCAAGTTGAATATTTTCCACAATACTTTTACAAAGTTTATGAATACAGTGTATTTCTGGGGGGAAGAAGCCATGGATTTCACGGCAGATATTTTCATCTTCGGGTCTGTGAGACTTCCGTAGGAGATAGGGGAGTCCACATGAAGTTTGTTGGTTCTCTGAGGGGAAGGGGCAGAGTCTTGCAGCTCAGTAATCTCTGCAGTGAGAGCAGCCTCCTCCACAGCCCGTTGCAGCTGCAGGAAACAGAAAAGGATGAACACAGGGCTGTACCTCTAAGGAAACAGGCACTAAAACATGGGAACAGAAGGTGACCATTCAGCCCATTGACACTGCCCCTGCCATTCATTATGATCAGGGCTGATTGAACACTCAGTGCGTTTCAGAAATCTATCAATCTCTACCTTAAACAGACTCGAAGATTGAGCTTCCCCAGCTCCCTATGGTAAAGAATTCCAAATCTTCACAACCCTCTGAGTGAGAGAATTTCTGAAATTTCTCATGTCAGACCTTAGTGGCATCCCGCTTATTTTTAAATTATGTCCCTGTTCTAGAAATTGAGTCTGTAAGAGTGATCAGAAATGTAACTAAGGAGATATTGTAGACACTGGAAGTTTGGCATTTGTTATTGGATGCATGCAAGCTTTTTACCTTTTATTTTGCTGCTTTTAGATTTCGGTGTCCGTAGTTAGGAATGTTTTTTCTTCATTTTTATTTAATTTACTGAGTTTCAAATATGTATTATGGTCCTTTATTAAATGTTTCCAACATCTTCAGTATTTCTTCTGTTGTCATTCTGTCACAGATTGATAAGAGCTGAAATATGTAAAAGGGGGAAAATGAATGCTCATTATGGCAGTGGAATGTGATCCAGAAGCATTTATTATAGGTGAAACATACTTTAACAGGCTTTCTAATAAAGACATGCAAACCTGTGAGTTTAATGCCTGAAAATAGGAAGAATGTTTTATGTCAGAGGCATTCCTGGTTTAGCTCTACCAGTGCAGTACTGGAGATATTCATTGATGTGATCCTGAGCACAATATCAAAGAATTGTTGCTTCTGCCATTAAAACCTGGAGGATCAATTGGTGAGAATTTGAACTTAGTTCATAAATAGGTGGTTGAGCAGCCCTGGGCAATCAATGTTGGCCAGCCATGAGTGATTTTTTTTTAAAAATTGGGCTCATTAGAAGACAACAATGCAGATTGTTGGCGAACTGGAGGTTTGCTTGGGTCGGAGGTCAGATCATATATTGTTTTTTAGGTCAGATGTTTTGTTACTATCAAGAACCTCACAAGAACTAATAAAAAGAAATAAAACAGGGCCAAGAAACGTCAAGGTTGTAAGCTTTTTTTTATCTTCAATAATCTTTTTGCTATTTTCATGTGATTTTGCCTGTTCAAACAAATCTTAAGAAGGTCTAAGTTACAGAGTTTAAATTTATACAGTAGCTTAAAAGGACAGGTGCCACAACTGAAAGCTTGGATACATTGTAGGACATTTCCTATAAACTTGTCTATAATTGTTTCTTCAATTGTCTGAATTTCCTAGGACTTGTCTGTAGGTATACCTGGCCTAAAGTACGCTGATAGATATTTGATACCCTAGCCAGAATGTTTACCCACTTCACAGTCCTCATTATTGCTCATCATGTATATAAACGATTTGGATAAGAATATAGGAGGCATGGTTAGCAAGTTCACGGATGATACCAAAATTAGTGGTATAGTGGACAGTGAAGAAGATTATCTAAGAATACAATAGGATCTTGATCAATTGGGCTGATGGGCTAAGGAATGGCAGATAGAATTTAATTTAGATAAATACACTTTGCATTTTGGTGAGACAAACAGGACAGGACATACACAGTTAATGGTAGGGCCCTGGAGAGTGTTGTCAAACAGAGAGATGTAGAGATGCAGATACATCGTTCATTGAAAGTGGTACCAGAGGTGGACAGGGTGATGAAGAAGGCATTGAGCACACTTGCCTTCATCAGTCAGAGCATTGGGTACAGGAGTTGGGACATCATGGTACAGCTGTACAGGATATTAGTGACACCACTTTTGGAGTACTGTGTATAATTCTGGTCGCCCTGCTATAGGAAGGATGTTATTAAACTGGAAAGGATGCAAAAGGATTTACAAAGATGTAACCAAGACTGGAGAGTTTGAGTTATAAGGAGAGGCTGGATAGGCTGAGGCGTTTTCACCTGGTAAGTAGGATCATGAGGGGTGGCCTTATAGAGGTTTATAAAATCATGAGGGGCACAGTTAAGGTGAATAACAAAAGTCTTTTTCCTAGAGTGGGGGAGTTAAAAACTAGATGGCATAGGTTTAAGGTGAGAGGGGAAAGATTTAAAAGGGATCTGAGAGGCAATTTTTACACACAGAGGATGGTGCAAGCTGTCTGGAACAAGCTACCAGAGGAAGTGGTAGAGGTGGGTACAATTACAACATTTAAAAGACATTTGAACTGGTACATGGATAGGTTTAGAGGGACATGGGCCAAATGGACTAGTTTAGTTTGGGAAACCAGGTGGCATGGATATGTTGGCCAAAGGATCTGTTTCTGTGCTGTATGACTCTATGATTCTGTGACTCCATGACTGTATGCTTCTTCCAAGCCCATTAATAGTGGACTCAGCCTGAAATTTATTTTCAGCAATAGGTGAGCCATTACTACTCACTGGAGTGTATGATTTCAGTGAAGTGTAGATTCATATGGGTACATGCCTTAACACCCAAGAAAACAGCTAAACAGACACAACAAGCCTTGAGTACACCACTTGGATTTTAGTTTCAAACACACACCAAGGAGAAGGAATTTAAATAACCAAGTTAGGCCCTGTTTATGTCCCTCTGATTCTTTGTATCAGGCTCCAACTTTTAAGTAAATAAATAAATACTTAAAAAATGACTCACGTCTGAATCGAGTGGCAGCAACAACATTTGTGCCAAAACTGGAACACCATGTGGAATTGGTTCTTGTGTTTTCAGAAAATGACCAGTTTGTTGGGGGAGCCTTTCATGTCCCAGACAGTGCACCAATGTCAGCTGGCTGGGAAGCCAGCACTGGGCTCACTGTGGATGGTAGTTTTTTTTGGGGGGGGTGGAGAGAGAGAGGCTGGAGGCCAGCAAGGGCATGTGGCAGTTGTTGGCAGCTTGCTAACTGTAGCTACAATCTGAATCCAGGACCAGCACTTCAATAAAATATGTTTATACTTAAGTTTTTATGGCAACATGATCCAACTCTTTTCATTAGTTTTCCTGTCAAAATTTCACTTAGAAGTGTTCTAAAATTCTGGCTGCAAGTTGTCTTGAAAGTTTTGCAAAAATAAATAATTAGCTCTTATTTTACTCATTGTAGTTAGATAAATAAATATTTATGTGATCTCTGGATTTTACTGGCTCAACATAAAAATCACGTATTCTCTTTTTCTCACTTTTACTTCCTGGAACAATCTTTCTGATGTGAAAAAAACAGATTTCTGGCAATTAGCTTTCTGTCAAATTTTACCCCAAAAAGGTTCTATGGTTTTCATGTTCCAGCTTGATTAGAAATAACTTGGGGAGAAGCAACTACAGAATTATTCTTACAGTCTGAAAATGCCAGCATTATGCGCTGACAGCATCATATGAATGCGTTTTGAGAGTTCCATGCAGTGTATATACCTAAGGTTTTAGAGTAGATTTGTAGCTTGGGTTGTGGATGTTGTGTTTGGTTGGCTTGCTGAGCTGGTTTGTTGTTGTTCCGCAGACGTTTCATTACCCTGCTGGGTAACATCATCAGTGCAGCCTTACCCAATGTGGATAAGGAAAACCACCAATTTGACGGGGACAACACCAGGATCCTGGGACAGGCAAAGCAGAGACAAGCACAGGAGTTCCTAGTAGCCTGATTCTCCGCTAAGAAAACCATCAACAAACACATAGAGCTCGACCCCAAATGCACTGCATTGCGAAGGAAAATCAGAAACGAGGTAATCCAGATCAACGGACCCCAGAGTTTAAATACTAGGCAGGAAAACACAATGGCGCTTCATCGGAGGCTGCACTGATGATGTTACCCAGCAGGGTAATGAAACATCTGTGGAACAACGGACCAGCTCGGTGAGCCAACCAACCACAAGTGTATATACACTAAGTATGGCATCTAGAAGTTTAAGTGCAATTGTATAGCTCATAAATCTGTTAGCTGGTGGAACAATTGATCTGGAAACAAGGCAAAACCTTTCTCGAGCAGAGAAAATACTCAACGTGCGTTTATCTTACCAATTGCACCTATATGAAGAAATCTTTGGAGACAAATGTGTGAAATTGCATTCTGAACGTTTTGCTTTCTGTTAAAATTGAAGAGAGGAGAAGTGTGGACAATGCATTCACGATCCCTTGACATACAGATGAGATGAGTAAGATTTTGCAATGAAAGTGTGCATTCAGAAGCCCCATGTTGCAAATTTTAATCTAATCAAAGTAAGAGTCAGGTGCAGAAAATGCAGAAAAACATGTAGTGAATTGTATGGTTCTGTATCAGTGTGTGCTGCACACTCTGTACAGGCAAGATCTTGGGAGTCTTGGCTGGCATCAATAGAGTCAGTACCTCCCTTCAGCTGAGACAGTGATGGCTGTGTGAAACATATTCATTCCATTTCAGAATTTTGAGGGAGGCTGACAACTTTGAGGAAAAAAAAGTGAGTCCACTGAAAGATAAAAAAAAAACAGTTTTAAAGTTATGCGCAGCTGTGTAATGATAAATTAATTGTCTTTTCTGATTTTATTGCTATCAATCTTGTTCTGAATCGTGGATATCTGAGCTTGTGGTAAAGAAGAATCCTGGATGCAAAAAATTAAATAAGAACATTTTGAGCAGTTTAGCGGATTTAGTTTCTGCACATTTCATTGCTATCTTTTCACAACTGCTTTCATAGTTACGAGGCCAAAAGTCTGTTTGAAGTCACACTAAAGAAAACTGTCATCAGCAGGAACTAGGGAAATTGGCAATTATTGATTTAACACGGGGCACAGTTTACAGTAAATTTGGCAGCAACCACACACAGTTATCACTATTTTTCATTAATTCCTCACAATAAGTGTTAGCAATTCATATCCCTGGGATGGAGGAACTGTCTTTTGAGCAAAGCTTAAACAGGTTGGGACTCTACTCACTGGAGTTTAGAAGAATGAGAGGTGATCTTATTGAAACAGAGAGGATTCTTCCAGGCGTGACAGGTTCAATGCTGAGAGGGCGTCTCTCCTTGTGGGAGAGTTTAGGACCAGAGGGCATAGTCTCAGAATAAAGGGGTTGCAATTTAAGACTGAAATGAGGAGGAAGTTTTTCTTTCAGAGGGTTATGAGTCTTTGTAACTCCTTGCCATAGAGAGTGATGGGGGCGGGGGGCAAGAGGGGGGCAATGTCCTTTTGTGTACTTAAGGCTGAGATAGATTCTTGATCAGCCGGGGAATCAAGGGTTATCGGGTAAGGGCAGGAGAGTGGGCGTGAGGAATGTTGTATCAGCCATGATCCTATTGAACGGCGGAGCAGGCTTGAGGAGCTGAATGGCCTATTCTCATGGACTTATGGTCTTTTATTTAGATATAAGACCTATTCAATACTTACAATATTTAAGTGACTCTATTCCTTGCAGCACCTAATTTGCACACGATTTTTAAAATAAGATGAAAACCATGGACTATATAAAATGACATGATCAGGTGCAAAGATAAACAAGGATACATCACACTAAACAGCAGGAGTCTGGGTATTGTGAAGAACTAGTCACATTCTTTTGAATAGGCCAAACAGGAGACCAGAGAACATGAGTGTCAGAACTTATACAGGTGACATGTATGAGCAGGAATAAAGTGACAGGTTGCAAAGGTATAATCAGCTGATCCCAAAATTAGATTGAATCCTGTGGAAAGGCATCAAATGCTGTCTTAGTGATTAAGAAGCTTCACGGAGGGTGACACAAAGTGAAAACAATTTAAAACCACAAAATTTACATAATTGGGTCAGCAACCTCAAAAGAACTTTTAAAAATGTAACTATGATGTGTTACAGATTTTTCCCTTTTCATATTCTTCCAAAAACAATTTCCGGGAGGTTCTTTCATGAATACCAATTATCCAGGCAGCTGTTGTCCATGTCTGAATCTCAACAGTGGGCTGAAATTTACCAGAAATCGACTATGTATCAACTCTGGTCAGTTTCGTGGATGCTGGTGAGAGGTTCTCATGCCATTCACCAATCCCCACTAGCTATCAGGGGGTGATGCTTATCCCACCTTCCCTCTCACCACATACAGAAGGTCTTGCCACTGCCAGGACCTCTCAGCATTCCTGGCACTAGCGCCAGTTTTAAAAGCCAGGAGTGAGCCTGATCAAGTGCTGCTGGCCAGGAGTGATCCTTCTTCATGGCGGCAGGGGAACAAAAGACAAATGCTTCTCAGGGCACCCAGATAGCACAGCCAGCACTTCGTTGTAGCCATAGTGCTATTTAAGAAACAAGCTACACGGCAGAACTGTCCTAAGGCTCAACCCATCTCGAACCTTGTTTGAGGGAGTGTTACATTTTCCCAAAACCCAGTGTAGCAGAGCATCATTTCATTTTTCAGTGTGGGATCATTACATACAGGAGAGCCTTCACATGAGGTTTTAGACATGCTCGCCGAGCAAATGTTAGCAAACTAAGGCATATAAATAACGAGCAGGACAGAACACCAACGCTTCACCGGAGGTGCACTGACAATGTTACCTAGCAGGGTGACGAAACGTCTGCAACCAAATATACTGGCTCAGTGAGCACATCTACAACTTCATCCACAACCTGAGCTACAAATCTTCTCGAAAACTTTGAAGCCTTCACATGATTGAAAATGTTCTCTTTTATTCAGTGGCAGGCAAGGCGCAGAAAAACCAACAAACAGAAGCTTCATTAGCTTGTCAGAATGGAGAGGGACTGTTTGTCTTTCCAGCACCAACAGGTTCACAGTCAGTGAGTGATCACTGCACCCGGTAACACCTACTGGAAACAAATGACAATGAAGTCCTGGCTGGCTTGTTTCACCTGATACTGCAGTGCTCTATCATGCAGAAGGTGATGTTCCTCCTTCTCAATGTCTTCATCTTCCTCCTTAGAAGACTACAGTCATTCGTGCAGCTCTTCAGATGTCCATCATGTCCCTCTGTAGTTGCTCAAGTTGTACAGAGTGCAGCAGGGTCATGTGGCATACTGTGTCTGGAATGTAATGCAAGGCATCACTACCTCCTTCTTCATCCTGACTGATCCAAGCATGGAAACCTCAGAACTTCACTTTCAGGAAGTCTATTGTCTGCTCCATGATGTCCTTGATTGAAGAATGGAGAGCATTGCACTGGTCTCACTCAGAGGGTTGTGTAACAGAGTCATCAGCCATTTTCACTGACGGTGACCCTTACTCCCCGCTTTAGGTGTCCACTCTTTCAATTGCAACAGGAACATGAGAGTTCTCAAGGGGAAAAACAGAAGTTGCCGGAAAAGCTCAGTAGGTCTGGCAGCATCTGTGAGGAAAAAAATCAGAGTTAACGTTTCGGGTCCGGTGAGCCTTCCTCAGAATGGTTTTCAGTTCTCAAGGATATAGGCATCACAGCAGCTCCCAGGATTCTTGGCACAGACTTCAATGATGTAGAACGAATGATTACAGATGTCTTGCATGTTGACAGAATGGAATCCTTTTCTGTTTGTGAAGTTAGCTGTGTCATGATATGGTGCACTCAACACAGCAAGTGTACACTGTATAGCACCCGGCACCTGGGAGAAGCCAATGACATTGGCAAAGCCCCTAGGCCAGTCTGGAGCACTGACCTCATTTCGGGGAGACAAGATGAAGTGGTATGATCTGACAGATATTACATTGGTAACAGCATTGTTACATTTCTGGGTCATACAGGATCCCCAGTGGACCCTTGGGAGCAGCCAGTTGCAGTTGAGCCTAATGCAGCTGTCCCACTGATGCCCACTGGGATAGGACAGCACCCATTCCTTCAGGTTGTAGATCCCACTACGCAGCGGTTGGTATAGGACCCTCTCAG